TATGACCCAGCTATCCCACTGCTGGGAATATACCCAGAGGAATGGAAATCATCAAGTCAAAGGTATACCTGTTCCCCAGTGTTCATCGCAGCACACTTTACAACAGCCAAGAGTTGGAACCAGCCCAAATGTCCATCATCAGATGAGTGAATAAAGAAACTGTGGTATATCTACACAACTGAATACTACTCAGCTATAAAAACAAATGAAATACTACCATTTGCAACAACAAGGATGGACCTTGAAGGAATTATATTAAGTGAAACAAGTCAGGCACAGAAAGAGAAATACTACATGTTCTCACTTATTGGTGGGAGCTAAAAATAAATAAATAAATTCACACACACAGGAAATACGGGGGGGGGGAAGAAGACATAACAACTACAACTCCTTGAAATTGATATGACAAGCAAACAGAAAGGACATTGTTGGGTGGGAGGGGGGAGAAGGAAGAGGGAGGGAGGTTTCGGTAATGGGTCACAATAATCAACCCCATTGTATATCGACAAAATAAAATTTTTTTAAAAAGTACACCCAAGGGCCCAGGCCCCACCCAACCGCACCCATGGGCCAGTCAGCCCCAACTGCAACCACGGGCACAGAACCCTCTGGCCCAACCTTCCGCCAAAAGCACCCATGGACCCAACACCTGCCAAACTACCTGCACGGGCCCAGCCTCTCCCAAGGTACCTCCATGGGCCCAGCAACCCCAAAAGGACACCCACAGGCCCAGGCCTAACCAAGTACACCCATGGCCTTTACCTGCACAAATGGCACCCACGGGCCCAGCACTACCCAACTGCACTCTCGGACCAGCCAGCCCCATCTGCACCCACAGGCACAGAACACTCTGCCCAGCTCTCTCCAAAATGCAACCACAGGCCCAGTACCCGCCAAAGTCCCCCACGGGCCCAGCACCGCCTCCCCAAGGTACCCCCATGAACCCAGTCCCCCCAGCACTACAACCACAGACCCAGGCCAACTCAACTGCACCTACGGGCCCTGCTCCCCCACCCAACTGCACGCATGGGCCGAGCCCCACACAACAGCATCCACGGGGCCAGCCCCCCACAGAATTACACCCACGGACCCAGGCCAACTCAACTGCACCTACGGGCCCAGCCCCCACCCAACTGTACCCACGGGCCCAGCCCCACCAACTACACACACGAGCCCGGCCTAGCCCCCACCCAGGAGCATGCATGGTACCAGGACCCCACCCCCCACAGCTACACACCTCAGCCCAACCATCGGAACTGCACCCATGGGCCCAGCCCCACCCAACTGCACCCCCGGGCCATCCAGCTCTATCTGCACCCACAGGCACAGAACCCTCTGGCCCAGCCCTCCCCGAAATGCAACCAAGGGTCCAGTACCTGCCAAAGTTCCCCACGAGACCAGCCACCCCCAAGGTACCCCCAGGGACCAAGCACCCCCAAAACTACACCCACGGTCCGACGCCTACTCAACTGCACCTATGGGCCCAGATCCCACCCAACTGCACCCACGGGCCCAGTCCCCACTAATTACCCACACGGGCCTGCCACCACCCAGGTGCACGCATGGTACCAGTACCCCCCACCCCACCCCCCACAGCTACACACCTCAGCCCAACCATCGGAACTGCACCCATGGGCCCAGCCCCACCCAACTGCACCCCCGGGCCATCCAGCTCTATCTGCACCCACAGGCACAGAACCCTCTGGCCCAGCCCTCCCTGAAATGCAACCAAGGGTCCAGTACCTGCCAAAGTTCCCCACGAGACCAGCCACCCCCAAGGTACCCCCAGAGACCAAGCACCCCCAAAACTACACCCACGGTCCGACGCCTACTCAACTGCACCTATGGGCCCAGATCCCACCCAACTGCACCCACGGGCCCAGTCCCCACTAATTACCCACACGGGCCTGCCACCACCCAGGTGCACGCATGGTACCAGTACCCCCCACCCCGGGGTGCACACCTGAGCCCAACCATCCTAACTGCACCCATGGGCCCAGACCACAGCAAAGTGCACCCACGGTCAGCCATCCCCAACTGCACCCATGGCCACAACACCCTCTGGCCCATCCCTCCCCCAACTGCACTCACACCCTTGTTCTGTTTCTTTTTTTCATCTTCTAACATGTCGTCTTTAGTCTCTTACTGATCAAATTCTACCCCATCTTGAAGATTTGACTCAAATGTCACCCCACTCGAGGCATCCCTACTCACCTTCTCACACCTGGCTTCTGTCCTGGGACTTCTCTTTTACATTCACATTCTCCAATCGATGATGTTGACACAGAAGGTGTTCAATATCCATGGCTTTGGGTTCCATGACACGCCTCCGGCTTTCCAGCCACTCCCTCAGGTCTCAGGCCCCCTCCTCTGGGTTCTTCCCTGGTGGAAAGTTACAGTTGCCTCTTAGACTTATTTTTAGCATCAACATGGGGAAAATGTGACCACGAGGTGCAGGCTCATGCGAATCCAGTGGCTGGGTGTGCTCAGGAGAGAGGACAGGAAACTCTTGAAGGTATGTATCTCCTGCATGCAATGGGGTCAGACGAACAAACACGCTCCAGGAAGAGACGGCCTCAGCGTGTCCAACTCCTTTTTTTTTCATCATCTAACATGTCATCTTTCGTCCCTTACTGATCACATTCTACCCCATCTTGAAGATTTGACTCACATGTCACCCCACTCGAGGCATCCCTACTCACCTTCTCTCACTTGGCTTCTGTCCTGGGACTTCTCTTTTACATTCACATTCTCCAATCGACGATGTTGACACAGAAGGTGTTCGATATCCCTGCCTTTGGGTTGCAGGACACGCCTCTGGCTTTTCAGCCACTCCTTCAGGTCTCAGGCCCCCTCCTCTGGGTTCTTCCCTGGTGGAAAGTTACAGTTGCCACTTAGACTTATTTTTAGCATCAACATGGGGAAAATGTGACCAGGAGGTGCAGGCTCATGCGAATCCAGTGGCTGGGCGTGCTCAGGAGACAGAACAGGAAACTCTTGAACGTATGTACCTGCTGCGTGCAATCGGGTCTGACCAACGAACACGCTCCAGGAAGAGACGGACTCAGCGTGTCCAAGACTCATGGTCCATAACTGGGAGCCACCCCCTCCACTGAATGTTCCTTAGGCAAAGAAACCACAGACGCCAAATCCTGGATGTAGGCGGGGTCTTTGCTGACTGTCCTGGAGGCATCCTGCGCTGCCCTGGCTGAGGGGTGTCTGCTTAACTGTGTACGGAACTTACCTTCACCAGGTACCTGCTCGTGCTCTTGAGCCAACCTGCGCTCTCTACTGAACTCGCTTCATTCTCGCTTTGGAGTTAGACCTCATGTCTATACTGAACTTACATGTGCGTTACACTTGGTGGGAGCCTGGCTCGGGTCTCTGGAGCTAGGCTGCACTTTCTCTATGGAACCTATATCTCTTCTCTGTTCTATTAAACTGGTTCTTTCTACCTTGAGTCTGCCCTTCAATTCTTTCCTGTGGCGGAGTCAAGAACCTGACAAGAGGACTGGGCCGGTTGAGGAGGACTATCGGCCCCCACCACCTGCCCCCAACCAGCCTGGTCAGACCCTACCTCCGACATCAGCTTCATTTAGTCTCATAGCTTTAAGTACCCGCTATATGACAATGACCCCCAAATTTATATCAATAGTCTTAACCAACTCCCACCGAAGTGCACCCGCAGGCCAAGCCCCCACTGAACTGCACCCACGGGCCCAGTCTCCAACAAAGTACCCCCACAGGCCAAGCCTCCCTCAACGTAAACCCAAGGACACGTCCTCCCCAAAGTACACCCAGGGCTCAGCCCCTATACGACTGCACCCACGGCCAGTGCCTCCCCCACTGCATCCACAAGTCCCACCTCCCACCAACTGCACTCACGGGACAAGCCCCCAACAAAGTGAACCCACGGGCCCCGTCCCCACCCAACTGCGTCAACAGGTCCAGGCCCCAACGACTGCAGCCACATTTCCAGCCCCACCAAAGTGCACCCATGGGCCCAGCCCCCACCAAAGTGCATCCACAAACACAACACACACCAAACTGCACCCAGTACACTGCACCCACGGGCAACGGCACCATCGGAGCTGGCCCCCGCCATGGAAACCCCACACGCCCAGCCCCTCCCAACGTACCCCCATGGGCCCAAGCCCCACCAACTACCCGCATGCACCTAGCCCCCACCCAGCTGCACGCAGGAGACCTGGACCCCCACCCCCAGCTACACACCTGAGTCCAACCATCCTAACTACACCCACGGGCCCAGCCCCAGCAGAGTATACCCACTGGCCCAGTCCCCCACAATTACATCCTTGGTCGCAGGCCCCTCATTGCCCAGCCCTCTCCAACTGCACCCAAGGTCCCGGCCCCCACCAACTGCACACACGGGACATGCACACAGCAAAGGGCCCCCTCAGACCCATCGCACACCCAACTTGCCCGCACGGCCCAAAGACCCACCAACTGTTCCCACAGGCCCAGCCCCCACCGACTGTCCCCATGGGCCCTGCCCCCACGGGCTGACCCTCCACCAACTGCATCCAAGGCCCACACCCCCCATTAAATGCACCCACGGACCCCGTCCCCAACGAAACCGCACCTACGGCCCCCATCCCAAACAAAAGGGCACCCATGGGCGCAGCTCCCCACCACTGTGCCCGCGGGTACAGCCACCCCACCAACTCCACCCAAGGGCCTGGCCGCCCCCCAACTCCAACCATGGGCCCAACCCCACCAAACTACACCCACCGCACCAGCCCACCACCCATGGCACCCACGGGTCCAGCCTCCTCAAAGTACCCCCAAGGACAAAACCCCCTGTAGTGGATGGAATTATGTTCCCCCCAAAACTCCCTGAACCTTGAATTGTGGCCCCCAAGTTTGATGCATTCGCCACTCAGCCCCCACTTCAACTTTGAAGAGGGTGGGAAATCCTACTTTGGTCAGGGGGAGCCCTGAACAGGTGGTTGGATTGCAGGACCTCGCAGTAGTGAAGGGATTAAAAGTGGTGCTCGGGGCGTGACTCTAAGGGCGTTCAAAGAAGACGAGAGTCTGCCTTTTGCTCTCTCTGTTCCCATCACCTTCCAGTGTGAGAGCCCTGGGTCACTGTCACCAACACCAGATGGACTTTGGACTTCTCAGCCTCACAAACTGCAAGCAATAACTTTTGTTTCCTTTAGAAATTACCCAATTCCAAGGATTTTCTGCGAAGCAACAAAAACGGACTAATTCACCACCCTCCAAAGTACACCCAAGGGCCCAGCCCCCACCCAACTGCACCCATGGGCCAGCCAGCCCCAACTGCAACCATGGGTACAGAACCCTCTGGACCAACCCTCCTCCAAATGCACCCCTGGACCCAGAATCCACAAAACTACCCCCATGGGCCCAGCCCCTCCCAAGGTACCCCCACAGACCAAGCACCCCCAAAAGTACACCCAGGAATCTAGGGCTACGGAAACGCACCTACGGTCCCAGACCCAACCCAACTGCCCCCACGGGCCAAGCCCCCACCAACTGTCCCCACGGGCCCAGCTCTACGAAATTCCCACATGGACCCAGCCTCTACCCAGCTGCATGTATGGGACCAGGAGACACCCCCAGCTACACACCTGAGCCCAACCATCCTAACCACACCCACGGGCCCAGACCCCAGCAAGTGCACCCACAGTCAGCCATACTCAGCTGCACCCATAGCCATAGAACCCTCTGGTCCAGCCCTCCCTCAAATGCACCCATGGATCCAGCACCCGCCAAATGAGCTCCACAGGCCCAGCCCGTCCCAAGGTACCTCCACGGGCCCAGCAACCCAGAAAGGACACTGACAGGCCCAGGCCTAACCAACTACACCCATGGCCTTTACCCCCACACAACTGCACCCACGGGCCCAGCCCTCACCCAACGGCATCTGTGGCGACTTCCCCCGTACCGAAAGCACCCCCATGGGCCCAGACACCCCCAAAGCACACCCACATTCCCAACCCCCACCCAACTGCACCCACCGGCCCGTTCCCCATTGAACTGCACCCATGGGGCCACTCCCTACCAAAGTACCCTCATAGGCCAAGCCTCCCTCAAAGTAAACCCAAGGATACATCCTCCTCAAAGTATACCCAAGGGCTCAGCCCCTATACGAATGCACCCATGGCCAGGGCCTCCCCTACTGCACCCACCGGCCCTACCTGCCACCAACTGCACTCATGGGACAAGCCTCCACAGAAGCGCAGCCACAGGCCCAGCCCCACCCAAGCACACCCATGCGCCCCGCCCCCACCCAAGTGC